CCCCCCCGCTCTCCTTACTTCTCCGACTTTGTTTGCCAGGGCGATGAGATCCCTCTTGGGGGACCAGGCCATGAAAATGATCTCTTGGGGAAGTTGCTTCTCTCCGACCTGCCGGAAAGCAGGCATGGCTGTAGCGGCGGCTCCCTGAAACCAAAGGAAAAAGATGTGTCTGCCACCGTGCTGCAGTAAGAACCTCAGGGTAGGATCTGAGAGAGCCAGGTTCGAATCCCCACTCAGCCTCAGAAAGCTCTCTGGCTGACGCTGGGCCCGTCTCACACACTCTGGCTCTAGCCTTCATCACAGGGTTGTTGTTGCGAGGGAAACAGAGAGGAGAAGAGAATGATGCTGCAAGCTGCTTTGGCTCCCCATGCAAAGGAGAAATAGCTGAATACAATAAGAAGAGCAGAAGAGATTGGATTTATACCCCACCCTTCACTTGGAGTCTCAGAGCAGTTTACAATCTCCTTTCTCTTCCCCTCCCCACAACAGACACCCTGTGAGGTAGGTGGGGCTGAGAGAGCTCTTTCAAGGACTGCCCATGAGAGAACAGCTCCAAGTGAACTTGTGAGTGACCCAAGGTCACGCCAGCAACTGCATGTGGAGAAGTCTGGCTCATACGTCTCCCTAGAAGTAAGGTGATCTCCAGGCCTCACCTGGAAGTCAGCATCCCTACCTAAAAAACATCTGCTGCACCTGGTTGCTAGATCCTCCCTGGCCACCAGCAGGGGATTGGGGGAGGTCAAGGTTTCCAGCTCCAGATTAAGAAACACCGTCTGTAATTCTGGGAGAACTCCAGGCCCAACCTGGACATTGGCAACCCTGTGTTCCCTGCAGCACGAACACACCCAAGCTGGTGCAGGGCTTCACGGCACACCTAAAGACAGAGACTGCCCTGTGCCAGGCCCCCCGTAGGGGATGGGGTTGCCAGGTCTCTGCTGGGAAACTCCTGGAGATCTGAGGCTGGCACCTGGAGAGGACCAGGACCTCAGATAGGGTTGCCAAGTCCCCACCGGCTGGAGATGGGGGTTTAGAATGGCTAGATCAGGTAAGGAAACTCCTGGAGATTGTTGGGGGCGGAGCCTGGGGAGGACAGGGACCTCAGTGGGGCACAGTGCCCTAGAGCAGTGATGGCGAACCTTTTAGAGACCGAGTGCCCAAACTGTGACCCAAAACCCACTTATTTATCGCAAAGTGCCAACACGGCCATTTAACCTGAATACTGAGGTTTTACTTTAGAAAAAAACAACTCATACATTAACTTAAGATGATCCAAACAAAGTCAGGAAAGCAATCCCAAATGCTTTCATTTACTTAACATTATTTGGCAGAGAATCCGACACTTTAATGATTGTCTGGGCCTGGCTGGGGCGATGGCATGCGTGCCCACAAAGAGGGCTCTGAGTGCCACCTCTGGCACCCGTGCCATAGGTTCGCCACCACTGCCCTAGAGTCTCCCCTCCAAAGCCGCCATTCTCTCCAGGAGGACCGATCTCTGAGCTGGAATTCCTCAGATCCCCCCCACACCTGGAGGTTGGCACCATCCCCTGCTTCAGTGGGGCACAAGCCCAGAGGCTGCAAGGGCTGCCCGCCCTCCAAAGCATCCCTCTTCTCCAGGCGAAATATACTGGGCTCAAGACCCCTATAGTGCTCAGCTCACCGCTTAGTAGTAGTGATCACAGCTCAACTCTAAGACTGAAAACGCTGGCCTTGCAGCCCTGTTGATAAAGCCTGCAAAGGCCACACACACCCCAAGCACACCCCACCACCAACGACAGGCTGTTTACAAAACATAAGGAAACAACAACAAGGACCCAGCAACCCTAGAGAGTAGAACAATACAAAAAAGTTGCCGAACAAGTTCAATATACTTATGCAAAATATTAGTAATTTAATACATATTCTTTTGCATTGAATTACTAATATTTTGCATAAGTATATCGAACTTGTTCGGCAACTCTTTTGTATTGTTCTGTTTACAAAACATGACAACTAACTACTCCTCTAGAGGTCCATTCCAGGATCCTGGCTAGCTATCGTCCTGGTGGAACAAGCTGAGCCCCTTTCCCAGGGACGGTTCAGGCTCAGCACATCACAGCAGGGGGAACGATCTCCAGGCGACAGCGCCGCAGCTGTAGCTCCAGGAGATCTCCCGGTGCCCCCCCCCCCCGGAGGCTGGCCTCCCTGCAGAAACCCCTGCTCGTTTCAATCCAACCCGCTTTTCAGATAGTGAAAAAGGAAGGGGGGGTCCCCTTTGCCCCCCCCCCCCCTGCTCCCTCTCTGTCACCTCCCCGAGCAGCCCGGCTGGTACCTGCGGCGGCGGCCCCTCTTTCCTCCCGCCCGGCATCTAGCCCTGCCGAGCCCGCCTCCTGCCCGGCCTCCTCTGCTCCGGCTTCCGGAGGCAGGGCCGAGGCCAGGGGCGTGACGACACGAGTGTGGAGCGGCGCTCGCACGTTGCGATCGCGGGCCCGGAGTCGATGCACCGCGTCGGGAGTGCCGCGGGGTTCGGTTCTTGCCGGGCAGGGAGGCGGGCGGTTCATGCAACGGGCCCTCATCTCGCCTACCAGCTTCCTGCCTTTTCCAGGGAGATGCCCTCGGTCCAGTGGGAGGCCCCTGCAGGCCGGTGGCCGCTATCTAATCAACGTCAACCATCTTGGGGGGGGGGGGGGGG